TTCAAAATCTTCTTCATATTCTTTTATATTAACTTTACATTTTAAAATAACTATCGAAAGCTCTTTTCACCATTATTCTAAACGAGTAAATTTATCCTTTAGAAGTCATCTTCTACTTTATTCATAAACGCTGTAAATATTTTCTCCATTATCTCTTAATGATTACTATCGATAGTATCAGTAGTCACAGAGATAACCCCACATTGGGTGCCAAAAAATTTTATTTTGCGCTTCTCGCAATGAAGGCTAACTCTGATAAAGGACCATAATAAACAACATCTAGCCGACGTTACCTCGGTAACTCCTGAAACGAAGAGATAGTATGACACATAACAAAACACAGTTCAGTTACATGAAAACTTACACTGAACATACACACATTTTCTTATTGCATCTAGTTGCCAAGAAGTAGCATAGCTCTCTACATTTGCAAGAAATTCAAATGTATCAATACATCACGCGACGTCAATCCGTAACTAGCGCTTATTGGTGAGTGAAATGATGCCATTCACAACAACCGTATTAATCTCCGAGTTACTTTATCCCAATTCGTCTTTAAGTAAGCTATCCCCTCCCAGAATTTTCAGGTGCAGATTTCGAGCAGTATGAGTCCCTGTACTGACGCGGAGAATTTTATACGTGTGGCTTAAGTGAAGCAGCTACTGAAAGAAAGTACAGACAACGATTCCTGAGTACATTTTTTGAGCAGCTCAACTGTTTCCTTCCGCAGCGTTCGTGTAGCGATGCATGCTCTCGAAACCGCACGAGGAATAATGATTTACACCAGAAGAACTCTTTTATCTACCGCGAAAATGCTCTGTACCACCTCAACACGCTATTTCCTAACATATATTCTATTGCAAAATCTGCTTATTTCGGCCTCATTCTACCCACCTCTATATTTTTTAATCGTCCTACATATATATATGTCAATATATGCTGACGCGTCGGAAAATTTAAACAGAGAATTGAGACAAAAGTTTTTTGACATAGTTAATTTTAATTCATTAAAAATTTGTCGCGCAAAGTTTCAATTGTCTGTTTCGGCGAAACGCGTAATGGAGTTAGCTTGGTTCGAAGTTCATTTAAAAAAAATTTCCCTTGAAAAGCCAAAATGAGCTTCGAAATTGGACTAATTAACCATTTACCGCTTCTTAATTTTAATATATACTTTTATATTTTACCTTGATCAATTGATTAGCATTTTACTGTGTTTTATACTGTGTTAAAAATTATATAATTTGTTTAGCATATAACTTTTTTATTATTTTAACTTGTAAATAGTCAAATATTATTATTTTAATTTGTAAATATTCAAATATTTTTTCTCCTCTTTCACACATTTCACAGCAACTAATATACTTATGTTGGAGTTTTCTTGGAGCCACAGTTTTTGGTAACTTTTTGGCGTACTTACTAAAATTTATCTTCTAATTTCCTTAATTTTGCAGCACAATGCTCAAAATTTTGACCAAAATTGGTCTTTTTTCGTTTGTTCTTACAACTTTACTTATAATAATATATATATGTATATATGATCCTATAATCATATCGAAATAGAAACTGAAAAACTAGCAAGTAATGTGACGTAAGACCTATTTGGTTTTAAAATGTTTTTGATCCTATAATCATATATATATATATATATGCATATATCATTATAGGATCAGAATTAAAGGATTCACTTAGTTTAGATTAAATTTATGATTATTGTTTATGATTATTTATGACCATTGTGTAGGTCAGAAACATGGTTATTCTAGTAAATTAACTCGTGGCACCAGCCTATGAAGTGAAGATACGAGATATGTAACATCATGTTATATTTTCTTGAATATTTTATTCTTTTTTCCTTAATATTTTGGTCCATCGAGGTTTGGCAGATACAGGAAAGTTACTAATTTTCTTCCTATTTTATGTTATATATAATATATACGTGTGCATATATTTATATGCATATATATACATATATATATAGATACATACATATTCGTACATGCATACACCTCACATTTATATATACTTTGTGCTTGTGTGTCTGTTGTGCATTGTATGTGTAATATTTTAAAACAGAATCATTCATTTATAATTATAATTAGCTTTCATAAAAGTGCAACTTATCTCTCTCGTTCCGTAATGAATCATCTCCTGATAGCAATCTCCCCGTTTATCGCTTAAGCAAAAGTTGTTATAAAATATTTTACTAACAATGAAATGATGATCATTAAGATAGTAAGGGTCAGGCTCCGATGTCATCGTTTTCCGATGAAAACAGAATTCTCATTTAAGGCTTTGAATACATGAATCTACCTAGTGCTGAGCTGCTGCTGCTCGAGTGATATCTAGTATTAAAGACGATGGACTAAAATTTCAGTTTAATGTAGATGAAATAAAAAAAAATGCGTTGTTAATTTACATTTCGTACACATTGTAAAAAATGTGTGAATGTATATTGTAAAAAATATTAAAGGAATTTATGTGTGTAATTTACTGGCAAATGAATGGTAATAAATCATTTACATTCTAAAATAAAAATTGATGCAGTTAGTAAATCTAAAAAGATCCATTATCAGAAGAGTTAAGAAAATAAGTAAATTATTCTTAATCCTACCACGGAAAACTTGCAGAGAATGTTTTTTCAGAAGCGATTTTTTTGAGTTTGTCCATATAAAAGTCTTAATACTTCAGTTGCTGAAATATGAATCTCCTATTTTTTGTTATTGAAATGTAATGAAGTACGATTCAAATTACTTAATGCCCACGACAGCAAAAATATACCCAGTAAATAGTCAGATTGTCTAAAGTTCTATCCTTATGTCACATAGTATAATTAATTCGTGAAGATTTGTGTAATACCACTGATTTGAAGGTGTCTTTCCTATATTATTTTACTGAGTTTGAATAAGCAGCATTAAATAAGATAGACGCAGTCATTTAAATTAAAATACTTCGAAACTGGCTAAAGTGTTTTCCTTTCTTCATGCTACGATTTCTTAAGCCTTTATTTTGTTACGGACTTTAATTTGTTATGAATCGTACCTTGAGTGTAATAAATACTGACCTTTACCGAAAATGTCTAAAAAATAGTGTTTCAACTCCCTTGGAAACTTAAACTTTGCCACATATTTACTAGTTTCTGCTTGAGTTATAGAAACTAGGATGCCTTAGCAATTGCCACGTTCAGGTCTGAAAGTAAAGAGGGGAGTAGGAAAACACCTGGAGATAAGCCTCCAAATGAGACCTCCAGCACTAAATAATAATACACTTTCTACTAGCGATAAAACTAACTTTATAAGATATTTCTCCCACCTTCTTGGCATGCCTTCGTGGTGTAATGGTCAAGCACTTTGGGCACTTATTCCAGAGGTCCGCGGTTCGATTTCCGGCGAAGGCGGTTGCTCTTTTTTCATCTTTCCTGCTTCCTAAAGAAATCCTAATATCTCTACATACAGCCTCTACATATCAAGTCGGGAAACGCCATCAATAGGGGCGAAAGGGTTAATGGATCCGCAGCTGCAATTTCATGAACTTGCATAATTCAACTAAATTCTGAAATTTGAAGAATATTATTATGTCGCATGATATCATGATTTTACTAGTCCATTCTTTTATCTTTCTCTGTGTCTCTTTAACAATAAACTGGCAGTTGCTGTAGATTACGTCTTCTGCTTATAAGTATATGAACGCGAAATTAAACTGAACGTCTGAGGGAAAAAAGAAAAGGAAATGCTATTTGACACAGAACTCAAAATTCAACAAATAAATCTGTCTGTGACTTAGCTGCTCTATAATGCTTCTAAAAGTCAACGGAAATGGGCAGTTATTATATAGGTTAATAGCGATCATTATAAATGAAAAAGAAAATACTAAGTTTTTTTAAATTAGATTCATTAAAATTACTCATTTATTTTTATTTAATTAAAGTACCTATCTATCTTATCAAATTTTTTATTTGTTGACTCCAGAATAAAGCTATGGTTACGATTTTCTTCTAGAACCAATCTTCTGAAGAAGATATTATGAGAAATGTAACACAATTTTTATATTCTTTTGCTCTATGCTGTTTTATGTTTTCATGTGCACTTTGTTCTCTGCACTAAGTATTTTCATTGTAAAGTAATTTTTGTATTTATTTTTAAATTTTTATCTAATTTTACTCTACAATATTTTACTCTACAATATTTACAATATTATATACTACTTACTTATTTTTTCTATTTGATAAGAATAGGCTTTAAACATGAATATTACAATTATTCTTATACACATACGCATATATGTACACGCATGCATACATACAGATAAGAAACTGAATAATGTTTAATTAATAAACACCATGAATGCAGTGCAAAATGCTATTAAATTAATTAGGAAATAAATAAATTTATTTTTAATGTAATCAGGTCTGTTGTTTGTTAGTTATTAGTTTCATAACCGTGTCTTTAAATTCAATTGTTGGTATAGTAAATGTTTCCAGTTCTCCGTCTAAAGTAGGTTGCAACTTCATACAATTTAAATTTTTTTCATAAAGTTTCGAAGGGAGCTATAAACTATTTGTGTAATTATTAACAGCAGATCCATTGATTAATCCCTTACCTTTTATGCAACTTGACGTATTTCAATTATAACTGTTGATTAACTCACGAAATACTGTCCGCTTCTAAATACGCAAAATATTCAGTAATTTCTCTGTATTTCTACCGTTATGTTAATTTTAGATTTCCTTTCTGTATTAAGTAATAATTTCATTTTTAGGATATATTTTAGAAATTTTTAATCGTGTGTTTACACATTTAGAGAGCAATCCATAAGTTTTTAATATGATATTTCCTTATATTTTCTTATAAATATTCAGCATCTATGACGGTTTTGAAGTTACAGCCAAAGGTTCGTTGGTCTGTACTAAAGAATAATTGTATTTTTAATTTATTCCAGTTCTTATCGTGAATGTAACTATTTCTAAGATTTTAATAATATAAAATTTTATGCATGGTTAACAGATGTTTGGAAGAAACAGCGAGTGATTATGTCGAATTTTACAACTTCAAAACAACGGACAGAAAAATTCCACGTCATTGTGGCAGTCAGCGACCAAAGTATATAGAATCCGACTCCAGTTATTTCCGCATCACTTTCATGTCCAATGAGAAGTTTGACGGTACAGGATTCCAAGCCTTCTATGAATTTAAGAAACAAGAAGGTAAATATTGTTATAACCAATAAAAATTTTTATTAAGATACAGATGCATGAGTATGTACTGATGCATTAATTTATTAACGTAGGAAAGAATAAAGGGAATCTTAAATTATCTTAAACGATGAAAATATGTATAGTTTCAACATAAAAAAATGATGAATAATTCGCAACCAGAAACCAATGTTAGATTTTTCTTTCTCCCGCTTACTTACTTGAAGCTTTTCAATCTTACAGATCCAAATTAAAATTTCTAAAAAATGCTATCAGTTATTATGATCGTTCAGTCTCGATTTGATAATTTTGTTGCTTAGGAAATGCAAATTTTGTAAATTATTGTAGTTATATAATTATTAGTTTTTTTCTTCTTCTCTTTGTTTAATTCAACATTTTCATGAATGAAAGCAGTCAGCGATTCCTTTTTTTGTTCAAATAGCGATTAATAGCCATTTTTTTAAAAATAGGCCTTACTTTTTTCGTAGCTGAATATAAAATGAAATTTTGAATGTGGTCCTAATACCACATATAAAATTCATAAGCTTGACTGGCAATTCTGTAATTATAGCGTAATATCAACTATGGTTTCCAGATATACTGCTGCCATTAAAATTGCAGCACCATGAAGGAAAGCATTGCACGTAAACAGTAGGGCATGAAGACAAATTGATTAAATTTGTAAGCATTTTGGAGGTTTACAGGGGTGCAAAATTACTAGAAATAGCTGCCATCCCTGGCAGCTAAAACGGCCCTTAGTTAGGCATGGCATCAAACTAAGCCTGGATGACAGAAATTGGCAAGTCATTCCACGCTGCTTGAGGAGTGGTGGTCCAGTCTCTCAGCATCCCATGACCAGATGCTTCCATTGGAGGATAGATCTGGAGACCGTGCAAGCCAGGGCAGCAATCGAATACCCTGTGTATCGAGGAAGGTCAAAACACGACGTGTAATATGTGGTCTTGCATTATCTTGTTGGAAGATGGCGTTTGGAGGCCTCGAAGATATGGCACACCCACTGGACTTAAGACGTCAGAAATGCACCGATCTGTGTTCAAATTACCGTTGATCCGAACTAGAGATGTGCGTGTCGTGTACCCAATGGTTGCCCAAACCATCACACAAGGAGCAGGGTCCCTTTGTAGATATCGAATGCAACCAGGAGACGTGTGGTCTCCTTGGACACTCCAGACACGAATACGGCCAGCAGAATACTGCATGTAGAGCCGGGACTTGTTTAAAAACGCGACATTGTGCCACTGTGCTGCGTTAACTAATCTTTGTACCCATCTTTGTTGTTTGGCGACTTCCCTTGAGAATGCAGAGAGTCGCCGTCACTCTTGTCAAGGGAAGCCGAAGTAATGGTCCCCCTGCTGATAGTCCACATTGCTACAAATGCCGACGCACCATACGAGCTGATACTGGGCGTGCTGCAAGCATGCCCATTTCCTGACTAATGATCCGTGATATTGTCGTACGATTTTACACAACTGACCTCACAATATGTCTGACCTCTTTGGCGTTAGTCATGGGGGACGTTGATATCCTACACACCGTTCAGTATGACCCTCAGCAATCCATTAATAACATATTGGCATGCCAGTGGTTGGATGTCGACCAGTGCGACCGACGATATCACGGAACGATAATCTACACTTTCGATAGTGAACGATCCTACCTCTATTGAATTTCGATAAATTTCCTGGTAAGCATTTCCTCTTCTTATTCGAGGCATAATACGATATTCTGAGCAAACTCCAACCTTACAAAGCACTTTCCGTATGAGAAATTCACTACACAAAGTTTCTTTTATGCAGTGCTTCAGATGTCGTTTCTTCCTCCTGCGTCGTCTAAATGCACTGAAATACTAATTTATTTGCATATCCCAAATTCTTTTTCTTTTCATGTGATTTTGGCATTAGTCAGATCATTCCTTCCTGGTGTTGCAATTTTAATGGCCGGCAGTGTACTTCAGCTAGTCAGTACAGTAGCAATAAAGTGTTATTTATGTTCTGTGAGGTTATTTTTTACCACCAGGATACCATCAAACAAATAGACACAAATAAAACAGTAAGTTTATTCTACCTCAAGGATTGCATTAGAGTATACAAACGCAAAATTACCAGTCAACCTAAACCTGGTTTCAACACAAAGTTCCGTTTCAAAAATGCCTATATATTGAACAGTTTTGATCTAACATGGATAGAGATTACAAGCTTTACCTTGCAAGATTCTGTGCCGTGTACTTTTAAGTTATAGTTAAAGTTGAAGAATCTTAAGCGACTAATCGCTGGTCAGCGACTGGTCGCATCGACTGGTAAGCGACTAATCGCTTGAGTTCGTGACATAGAGACAACACGTAAGAAGGGTTAAAGATCCTTTATTATTCCAAATTAAAATTTAACAGAACTCCGTCTTGGAGTTTTAAAATAAAGCCGCCACTCGGGCTTGAACTAAAAGACTAAAATTAACTTAACTAACCTTAACTAAAAAGATATAGCCGAAGCTATCAAGCTGCTAGCCGAGTTGGCCCCTTAAAGCTGACTAACGGCGAAGCTATCAAGGGCGTAATGTACGGCCGAGCGTAATAATAGCTTAAGAGAGAATAGTCTAAAAAGGCGGACGCGTGCTAGCCAGAATCACTGGTTTCTCTCTAACTAAGACAGTAGAACTTCGCGGTTAAATACTTCTCTTCAATTCGCATTCAAACGCGTTTGTAAAACTACATTCTGACCGGAAGTTAAGACAGTAAAGGAACTTTAACTCAAAATTTAACTGTAGAGAAATTAACATAATCCTTACAACCTAAATGGCGATATAAACTCAGACGCACACTTGCCAAAACAGGATCTAACCTAATTTACAGTATTCACAGCAAGACCCAAAGACTTTGTTATAATCGGCAAGGCAGCAGACCAAAATCTCGCACTCTTATTCGTAAGTCTCTAATCTTTACAGTAAAACTGCTTTCCATGCAGATTTACAGCGAACCTTGTGGCGAAAAAAGATAGAAAGGAAGGAAGTTACAAATTAGCTCAAGTACTATGATTGGCAAATGAGATATGCGGGGTAAATATATCATTCGAAATTAAATTTAGCTAAGTAAATATTTATTTATGCAAAATATACAGTAATGGTCAGTTAAAGAAAAGGCTGCGTTTGTATACATTTTGTTCCTTTTTCTACTTTTGAGCCATTTGAAGAAAATTATAAACCTTTTTTGGCTATAGTTATTTATTTTGTTGCTCTTAATATAAATGAGAGATTTCATTAAATTATCCATTGCTCCTGAAGCCTGGGAGGTCCACAAAAAATTGTTCCGAATGAATTATAAGTGCAATTTAATCCAGTGTGTCCCAGACATTTTAGCTTTGCAACGGAACCTACCTATGTTAGTTTCGATTTATTGTAATCGACGTAAGTACGTGATACTATTTATTTAACAGTGACCGATAGCTCACGATAAATGTACTTTGCATGCTGCAGTTTCTACAGACAGAAGCACAAAGTATGAATAGTTAAGGTCTAGAAATATACACTTAATTATGTAAGGTATCTCATGTTTTTTAAGCAATTATTAAAATTTCAGTTTTTACTATAATTTTTCTTCTCCAGATGCCTCGCCAGAATGCAAATTACTTGTGAGTATTTAAGCTGAGGTTTCTAGATTTTGAAACAGAAAGTGTTTCCGGTATCGCTTGCGCGTTACGTCACTGGTCTCTGCCAGCTCTTGTAAGTGTAATTACTCAACGTTGCGGTCTCTTGTTGCTGATACTTTAATTCTGACCCGCCGACAGAATTATTCAGCCAGCTTCTTGTTTAGTATTTAATTGTGTAGTTTTTGGTTACTGTTGAGCGTTTAATTTAAATTTGACTTTTCTATTTATTTGCATCACCACTAGTTGTGGCTATTGTAGTACAAGAATGATCTCATATCGTCGAAATTATGTCTAAATAAAAAGGTTATTATAACCTTCTTCAGATTTTTTCGTTTACCTCAGACAAGCGATAACTCTCTTCACTTCTTTTAAGGTTACAGAACTAAAACAGCATTACTATATCAAATATAACCCTGTAATTATCTGGAAAAATCTCCTGTCGGATATCGGAGAGATCCCATTCCTGCCCCTTAAGAGATTTTCTGCTGCATTTGAAATAGTGAATATACGAGAACACCATTTATATGCAAATTGGAAAGGAAATGGCCTTAGCCGCTATTTCGAAAAAGATAAACGAGTCCCACAATTAGAAAGATAAATATTTTCACTCGCAGTACGTGCCGCAGAAATTACTAATCACATTCCTTAATTGGCCAATTAAGTAATTATATCAGCTCTGAAATCTGGCGAATTGTGCTTGAATACGAGCTCTATTTGAGTGCTGTTTTAAGAATGTAATAATAATTCTGTACTGCGGTAACTAATCTTAAAGGAAAAGAGAGAGAAAAAGTGTAACTGTCTAACGGCTTCAGTAATTCACAGCAAAATAATCATTGTTTCCTTGCCTTAACAAGATACCGTTGAATAATGCCTGTTTTTAATTAATTATTAATGCAAAATATACTCCAACATATGAGAAAATTTAATTTTCGTTAACGCAATACAAAATCAGAAGACGGGGGAAACTTTCAAAGTCGGTTCAAATGCTATCCTAACAGTTCGCATTGATGTATTCTATTTGTTCATGAACAACGTTAAATATTAAAAAATCTTTCAAGCCTGGAAACAGACTCTGAACAAGTGGGAAACTGAACAAGTGGGAAAACAATATATCTTAATGATGTCTAATGCATAGTGCATATATTGATTAGCGTCTTATAAAAAGAAATCTTTAATCCATCTAGAATAATATTTATTTCAGTCACTTATTTGTTTTTATTTCTTACGACTAATGAAGTATGTTATTTATTGTTTCAAATGTAAATGTAAATTTACTTTTGTCATGAAAAATGGGATTCATTATGTCTGATAGTTTGTATTAGTTTATGAACAGATTCAGTTACTAAATTCAATTCTTTACTGATAAGAAACTAAATAAAGGAACTTTTAATACTTTAGCAGTATAATGTATTTTTTACTATTGTTTGTTCTTAAAAAATAAATTGCTAAATTTTTATGTACTTTCTATGAAATATGTTATGTAAAATAGCTTACCTTGTATTTTGTTTCAATATGATACTATTTGTATCAATATAGTCATATGGTGCGTGAACCTTAGTAACAAAGAAAGGAAAAGTAATTATTAAAAATGTCTAATCAAATTTGTTTCCACACTTTCTTATTTTATTACCAATTTAATCTGAAGAACAAAGTTGCGTGTTTCACCTTGAGATCTTTACGCACAAAAGTTTTAGCAAAACCATTTCCATAAATTTGACATTTTCGTGTATTAATTTTTAATAAATAGTCTTTGGAAAGAGTGTTACAAAGTCTAAACAATAGTATATTAATCCTTCGTAAAATTAGAGAGGCAAATCTACGAAGCAAAACTCAAATTTCAGGACAAACATACAGCAGCCAAGCCTGCATTTAGTAATAGAAATGACAATGAAATTGCTGTAACTCAAGCTCTAAATAAGACAAAATCTAATTTTCACCAGAATTCGAAAGAATACAGCTACGATATAAAAAATTAAAAATCGGCATTTGCAGGGAACTGGCGCTTTAAAGATACATAGAGTTTTCGAGTTTTCAAATATGTTGAAGAGGATTGTTGCTGGACTCTGCTGGATTGTTGCTTATTTATTTACATATTTTGCCTATCGGCTATATGGCAGTAGAAGGGCGTCAGACAGGGAGGAGGAAGAATTTTTACATTTAGAGGTTTATTACCTCAATAGTAGTACAAATTTGTACACATTTTGGTACAAGATTTACATTACCAAACATGGATAAATGTATCTATGTATGCTCTAAAACTACAGATATTTTAACATTTATGAGTTAAGCACAATAATATTAGATAAATAAAACACAGTCTTAATAACGAGGATTAATTTGCTGTAGGAAAATTTACAAATCCTCATCCAGTGGAAGAGGGACATCGCATCATGTGACAACATAAAAAAACTAAATATTGTATTTAAGCGCAGACAACATTATTTACAAAAATGTAACTACGGTGCTTGCAATTAAGATAGTTAACGATTTAATACCTACGGCTGTCGACAGTACTTAATGCTTACGGGAAACCGCTTAGACTCGGAATATACTCGGAATTAATTTATTCTTGGAAGCGTTTTGTCAAACTAAGTGTAAATAAAGTTCGCCATAGTAATTAATGTTAAATGTGCTACTTAAGTACGAGACAACGTTAATACGTTCTTGAATGATTGTATATTTAATCTTTACAACAGCATACTTTAATGCACAAGTTCATAACTTAAAAACCAGTAGAAATGAATAAATATAAAAAGAACAGAAATGAATAAATAAACGCAAAATTAAACAGATTGTTCTCAACTCTACTTGAGACTTACTGGCTTTTCTTTCACTTTTCAGCTTTTCAGTTTGCCCAATATTACTTGTTTCTGTTTTACATTTTAAATTATTTCCAAAGTGAGTAACTGAAAATTCTTATGTTGTAACTTGCAACTGCTTTATCAGGTTAATATCCTTATATGAAAATTTGAAAACTTTGTGCAAAATAGGGGACTATTTCTTGTATCAGGAAACTGGAATCATTTTTTCTTTGTTCCTCACCTTAGGAAAATTTTCACAATTGTCTTTTGTTGCTGCTTCTGAAGTTGTTGCAGTTCTTTCTTGTTTAGCCTTTTTTGGGGCCCTCCAGTAATTTTTTCGTCTTTATTTTTAATTTTATAGCCTACGGTTTTGTTTAAAGGCACAGTATCACAGATATCAAAAAATGTGTTAAGTATTAGAGCCCTTAAAATGCCATGCAACCCAGTCTAACCATAATTATCTCCAGGCGGAAGTAATTGCCCCACAAATCATTTGCAGCTAGGTTTTGTTAATGAGAGTTCAGCAATGAGAAATATCAAAATTATGTTTTTAAAAGTCACTGAGTATTAATTATGTGGATACGTTATCTCAAAATAGCTTTGAAAAACCTTATGTTGCCGACATGAATGTTCCTAAATCGAGACACCGTTCTTAATCCGAGGCGTTTTTCCTTCAGATAATTTGTTCGTGAAGTGAAACGTTTGTGATATGGAAGCAGCCGAACGAAAATAAGTGGAATCCGTTAAACGCACTGGTATCTGTCAGCTGCTCTGCGAAAACGCGACCAATTTATAAAGAAACATAAAGCCTGCGAGTACAAAGTTGATGAAATTTGTACATATATCAAACAACAGATCCGCGACATAGTCTGTATTATGCGCAGCAAATTATACAATAGCCATTACATTATTAAAATAATCCATATTATTTTACATTATTGTAGACTGAGGAAAAAAAAAGGGGGGGCTCCCGTTCTACTGGGCCGATTGACAAAATTCAACTTGCGTTTTCCATGTCTTGAAAGCGCGACTTAGGATATATATTAGATTTATATATAGCATTGTTCTAATATAGATATTTTGACAAAAAATCGGACTTTTTCTGAAATAACATACCAAATGTTTTCCATATTTCGATTCTACGACTCAAATTATGCCTAGATATTAAATTTTGTAAAATTTGGTGCGAACTTTCTGGAGAAATGGAAAAATTTATCTTGGCGCAAATTTTTCGGTTTGCGCTAAGAATAATTCACTTGGCGCACTTCTTAATATATGACAACCAATTTTCCTTTATCCTTCCATTATGCCAGAGCGAGAAAAAAGGCACATTGTTCTTACTTTCAAATAATTTTAGCAAAGTGTCTAAACCACATTTGATGCTTTATCGTTTTTCAACAAATATGCCTAATTTCAAAACGCGCCAATATATAAATTCACGTATAGCTTCGAAAATTTTGAATAAAAAAAGTATAATTTTTTGCAGGTATGCTTTGAAATACGTCTACTTTAAGATGATGGTAAAAATTTTATAGATTATAGTTCAAAACATTTTTGAAAAATTTATAAAAATTATTTAAAAATACAAATTTAAAAAATAAATCATAAAAAATGGGTGAATTTTATTTGGAATAAACCTGAATTTCGAAATGGGAAAGGAAGAATCAAATAAATTTAATATAAAAGAGTGATTAATAAATATATACCAAACTCAATTAACATTGAGGAGCTAAAATTTTGAGATCTAATTTTTTTAAAACTACTCGTGCGATTTTTACAAATCTTGGAAGTTTGGCGTAATTTGAGTCGTAGAATCGAAATATGGAAAAAAATGGTATGTTATTTCAGAAAAAGCCCGATTTTGTGTGAATATACCTATATTAGAACAATGCTGTATATAAATTTAATACATATTATAAGTCGCGCTTTCGAGATATGAAAAGCGCAAGTTGAATTTCGTCAACCGGCCCAGTAGAACAAGAGATATACTAGAACTGTCCCATTTTTTTTCGCAGTGTACATTATTGAACTTTGCAAGTAAAATACACTGAACGATGCAAATAAAATTCTGTACTAACATAATATATATAATTAGTATAGGTGAACACATCCGATAAAACGTATCAAGAGGTTTCACATCTGAAAATCTGCATATAGCATCTACAAAGGATAAGATCATGACGTCCATTGATTCTCCGCCTTGGAAATTTTGTCAAAAGATTTTGTATTCCAATATCTCGTTAATGAAGCAGTATATGAAATTATTTAAACTGTATTTTGTATGCTTTAGACTCTCGAAAATTCCACGTAACTCTGACACGCTGTTTCTAGGACACTTTGCATAACACAAATGAATGCTTGATTCCCTTGTTGGGCAGGTTAGCGAACGACATATTTATACATAAGTAAATAAATAAAATAGTTTTAGAGAAAGAAATGGTAATATTGAAAGAAGATGGAATGCTGTAAATTTTAAAAAATTATTTAGCTTTAATCTAAATATTCCTTGTAGTCACAAAAAATCGCCTATAAAGTTAACCTTCTTTTGATGAAGAAGAAAGGGTATTTCCATTAAAATATACTTAATAATCACAGGTAATACACAATGTTAATGGATAATGAAGTTTTAACACGAATTACAAAATGTAACTATCTTTCTTTGTCCGAGGGATTGTGCCATCACACAATATATATTGCTAAAATAAGATTTCTTACTATTAATTTGCTTAAAAAAGTGTACAAAAACTGTGTGTGTACTTTACGATATACCCTGCTTAATGATTTGCTTATAATTTCTGTATAGATCCTTCCACCGTCAAAAGAATATCTACAACTTCTATCAGTACCTCATCTAGTAAGTATATAGTATATGTCTTTGATTATAATTTTAGTAGTGTAATTTTAGAACACGCTTAGTAATATTTATATCTTCACATTAAAATATTTCACAAACATAATGAAAAATGTTATTGAATTAAAAGTCTTTTTTGTCCCCTATTTTTTGTCATTATTCGTTATTGTTGTCTGCTTTTCCTTTAAATGGGAGTTGTGCTAAAATAATCTTAAGTGTTAATATATTATTTCAGAATGTAATGTCGAAATTATCTTGAAATTTCAGAATATAAAAGTGCGTTTTTGAATTTTCAAATAAAAGTTTTAATTTGCATTCAGATTTGACAATGTTTAAATCATCATTAACGAGGAAACATTTTTTTTTATTGAAATGTCGATTTTAGTTCAGATTGTAGGTTATGTTGTAAGGTATTTCTCCCGCCCTCTTACCATGCCTTCGTGGTGTAGTGGTCAGCGCACTATACGCGTATTCGAGCTACCTACGACACGGTAGCTTAAGTTTCGAATCCCACTTTTAAGAGATGAACATTTCTGTCGGTAATATATTCGAAGAAAATGGCACATAAAATCCGTCGTTCCTAAAATCATCTGCAGAAATTTATCGTAGAGGGAGATATGTACACAGCGAAAGAAAAAGAAAAAAAAGGGTGGGGAGACAGTTCTTTATCTCCCGTTCTACTGGGCCGACTGACAAAACTCAATGCGTTTTTAATGTCTCGAAAGCGCGACTTAGGGTATGTATCAAATTTATATATAGCACTGTTCTCACATATGTATTTTGACAGAAAATCGGACTTTTTCTGAAATGACATGCCAATTTTTTCCATATTTCGATTCTACGACTTCAGATTACGCGAAACTGCCAAGATATACAGTGATGTAAATCATGACTACTTTTTGTATTCATTCCTATCCAACTCTCGATTTACTATCTCTTAAAATCAGGGCTAATTACGCACTTTTAAAAAGAGGCTCGTTTTGAAGATATTTTCAAACTGCCATCCTTCTTGAATCGATATTTAAGCTAAATTTTAGATAATTCGTTTTGAAAAACTCTACATTCACTTACCATTTACTTGCCTGCTTTAAGACGTTGAGAAATTAATGCATATGATGGCCTGTTGTTAATCTCAGATTTGCAGTTACTATGGCTATAGGGGTATCGTAAAAATGTTTATTGGATCAGCCTTAATGTTCAGTACAATGATTATGTGGTTGATTCCTTTTTTTTTTTTTTTTTCAAATAATGCGAACTCCTAAGTTCTGTGTATATACATGACTTATTTCTTAAGGCGGCAAGTTAAAGAAATAAATAAGTCCACTTCTTAGTAAAGAAAGCCCATTTTTCCTCCAATCAACTTGCAGAATCATTAGAATTTTTTATGCTGGAGACGTGAAAAATGTGCAATGCCCTCGCCGGCACTCGAAACCTAAACCTCTCGAATACGTGCGGAGTATGCTTCCACTAACATTAAGAAGGCATGCGAAAAGGAGGGAGAAAATAACTTATACACTTTGTGTCTATTAAGTTGGAGCCAGCGAGACCATATGGGAAAATTTTACAATGCATAAATTCATTATTTACCTTTAATTTTCTGTTCCTTATTTTTTATTCAAATCAGAGTTTCCCCTAACTATTTTTTCCCTAATGACGGACCCTCGGCCGACCTTGGTTTGGCCACAGCTAAGGCCTTCAAGGTGGTCATTTTATTATAAAGGCACCTAATAAGTGGACCAACTTAGCCTCCTATGAAGGGACGGACAGTTACAACCATGCCTTCTCCGGGAGTCGACCCCGGGCCCTTTGTAATCGGTTTCCTAACCACTGTATCGTCTCGGCAGTTCTTTTGACTATATAGTAAATGAATTATCACCTTATATGGAAGAATTAGTTTCACTGTTTATACACGCATACACTCTTACTTTGATATGGGAAAGTTAGTTTCCTTCTGAATTAAAGAATTTTGGTATCAAGGAACGAATTCAGTTTCAAATAGAAAATAAACTGATATTTCTGAAGCATATAGTCTAAAATCTAAGTCCGCCGTTTTTTCCCTGGTTTAGATACTACAATTTTTCATAGTGCATGTTTCATAAATGGATATTGTAAGCACCCCCTAAACATATTCTTACTTTATATTATTCCTGGCCTTCTTCATTATGACAAATAGCTCAAAGTCCTGAATTAGCATTAAAATAGGAGCTCATATTTTATGCTCTTACCTACTAAATTGCGTATGATGCAAGATGTAAATGTCAAATAATCACAGATCTTGAATCTAATGATACGCTATTAATTCAGTATTTCAACTAATAATTTGTAATCATGTAAATCTGTTTATTACTGTTCTGCTATATATAATTAAATATTTTCATTTTCTTTAAGAGAGCACTACTCTTGGAATGGATAGTATCTTCTCTTGCATCCTTCCAGCCGTATTCTGTACTGTCTGGTTTATGATGGTATGAAAAGATTCAAACTGAAGCATTTCCAAGCATACTTGACCGATGGAATAAAAGAAGAATCAACTGCGGTCGATTCTTGATTTTCAGAAAAGATATATCTGTATTGCAGTCAGTTTGCATTTTGATTATAATCGAGAATGTTTGGAACTACATGTCTATTTTTCGGTAAATTATTAAATGCCAAAGAAAATGAAGAGTCAAGTATTTTGTGGTTCTAAAAATTATTTACTGCTATCTGCAAACCCGTTTTTCATCTCATATGACTCATATGAAAATCGAAGTATTTTGTAAACAATGTTTTATTCGTGTCATAGAAAATGTGCTTTCTAAAAAATGCGATGAAAGTTGTTGAGATAAGTCTTTGAATGGAATAATAGAATGTGTAAGTAAAAGAAAGCTTTGCATTTATGAAATATCAGGCTTTATATTTAAGAATGTATTCAAAGTATGTTTTTTTTTTTTTTGTTTAACAAAGACAAATTTTAAGTACACATATAATATTTGCCTAACTTCAGCAAATTTTCTTTTCTCAGCGTATGTCTTTAAAAAAACACTCTACAGAATTGTTTTACAAAGTGTCCCATAAAACAAAATCTACTCTTTTTTATGTTTTATATCTGTAGATTCAATCTTAGCAGGATTAAAAATTAAAAAAATTTGTTATTTGTTAGTAGTTTTGTTTTTTATTTAACCAGGACAAATTTTAAATATACATAAAACATTTGCATCAGTTCATAAAATTTTATTTTCTCAGCGTATGTCTTTAAAAAAATCATTCTAAAAAATGTTTCACAAAGGGTTACATAAAATTAAAGTTACCATTTTTTATGTTGTAGATCTGTAGAAGCAATCCGAGCGGGATTAAAAATTAATGTATAGAATATAAAATTTCAGAAAGTAAGTTGTCTTGCGAGGCGCTAGCATATGCAACAGGGGCGAGTCAATCTGTTGATCGCGAATATCCATGTGTTGCATTTCTAGTAGACATATATTTTGTATACTCCCCTCGCACAGGTAGACTGTGATTTCCTCCTTGCAAAAAAAGCAACGTATGTTCTTCAAAATGTAGGCGAGCCCTGACATAATCAAAGTGAATAAATAATTTTAATATATCCTTTAATGTCATGAAAATAGTTGTCTGAAAATTAGAAAACACGCAATTGCTTTCATTATTCTTCCTCTGGCATTAATCCTGTTAAGATTTAATTTTAGAAATACATCAAGGATTTACATCAAGAAATTATTAAAATTTAAATTACATATACTCTGAAGTGCCAATGAATTGGGGATTTAGGAAGGAGTTACTACTCCTTTAACATGGATAACGGTTACCATACGAAAATGTATGTACAGCTGATTGAATATTTTTTACTATTTTCAGAAGTATTTTAACTTCTTCTTCATTTAATTTTTATCAAAAAATGTAATAATGATAATCAAAAGCATAATGTGCAGAAATAAAAGCGACATTGAATATTAAAAGGCTTCCATCACCATCTGGTAGTATCTTACTTTGCCGCTTTCAAAAACCTAGGTGTCTCCAAATAGTAATTTTACTACTTTTCATAATTTTATATATAACTGTTGGAGGAAATGTTATTATAAATTATTCAAAAAAGGGTAGGACAGGAAAAAGCATTTTATCTTTTCTTAACATGATTTTGAAAATATTATTCATTTTAAATTATTTCGAATAATTGAATTTTTTGCAAAACAGAAGTATTCAATTTGATATTTTTTTAAAGTAAACATTTGTATTTTAAAAGGAAATTCATGCTACGTAAAAAGAGAAAAACCTAAAGAAACAGTTTTCCATTTAAATATTTTTGCTTTCTTTTGCTTTTCCTGTGGAAGGAACCTTATATTTGTTCAAGTACTATTTATGAAAATGGAAATTCTCCTAAATGGACAATTTTAAACTTATAAAACTTTTTTCAACAGATAAGTTCGAAACTTCTTATCCCCGATGTGAAATTTTTTGAAATCGACCTGTGCGAAACTAACAATAAACAAGGACTATTCCAAGCAAAACTCAAACAATCTGTACTTTTCATATACTGAGAAATAGTTTTTAATTATTATTTAATAAATTGTAACGCTAGTTTCACCTTAACTTCATTCTTTGTAACGAAACTTTTAATATAGAGTTACCTAAATACTTGAATAATATAAAATCTAAATTTGCATAAAATAAAATATTCATTTAGTTTAGCTAAACATAGTATAATGACAAATAAATCACATGTTGTATTTACAGCTTTCTTCATGAAGTTACATTTGATAGATGGGATAGGTGTTTAAGAAAGATTTCACTTTCTTTTAAAAGCAAGAATATTCAGGTAAAGTTCAATTCCATGAGTATTTTATATTAGCTTATTCTTCGTCGTTATGAAAGCCAGTGTCTTCTTTTCAAAAGTGTTGAGATTTTCATCTCATAAAGAAATGTGAAAACTTCACTCTTGTTGTACTTTATTGTGAAAACTGTATGTTTACTGTGTGTTTATATTGTATCCTGTAAGATATTATGTATTTAATAATATTCAACATGTTTATTACTATGTGGCGTATAAAGAAATTATGCTTCGTTTTTTACGATAATGACAAGCGAATTTATTAAGAATACCACTAACTGGTATAATTAGATCGAATGCTTTATTATTTACTTCATAAAACCATTCTGTTGCATTTTATGACATTAAGATAATAAAACAAGTTATATTGACCTTTATGAAGTTCATCGACGACAACATTCTTTGTGAAATCAAGAATTTAACACAGCACCTTAAATCTTAATCCAGCTATTTAGCTTTCAAATTATGTAACATTTTACTGATGATTTAATTTCCCAGTTCCTCGTATAAGAAAGGAAACAAATGCCTGTCAAGAAGGAAATGAGGAACGACGTGCATGAAATTTCACAGATTGTTTTGGGCTCCATGAGCAGTATTTTGTGACTGTAAAGAGAAGAAAATTAATTTAACAAGGAAGACAAAATTTTGAAATCTGGTTTTACTACCAATCATTCCATAAATTGGAAAAATTTTCACAAATTTATGTAATCTGGTAATTTTTAATTAAATATACTTTTATTAGATTCAAAGTGTATTTGTATTCATTTTAAAGAAAAATGGTTTATACAATAAATATATTCTCAAGCTGAGAATGTATATTGTAATAAATATAAATAATTGTGTGAATCTTTAATTTACAAAATCAAAATACATGTACAAGCATGTACTTATTGTTTATCCAAGAAATCTAGCGTTTAGCAGCATAAAGAACTCAAAAGCCAGAGCTTCAGTGGGATTAGTGTCTAGGTTTCAATATTTAGAAGAAATTCTTTAATTTCCAGAGCTCATGCGTTTAGCATAAGCTGTTTAGCATAAGCAGTTTAGCATAAGCTAAGCATAACACAATTTCTAAATACCACCTGAAATGTAAAATATAGTTTATTGTGAATTTTAAGTTATTGTAATCATTAAAAAGGAAACCACAACCTAGAAATATTTTCCATCCTTTACAGTTCTGCATGTTGGAACTTTGGAAAATTGTCTTTATCGTTTCATACTGTTTTATTTTTACTCCATTTACAGCTCTATTTCTGGGCAAAATAATTGTTTAGAAGTTTTGCCATAAATTCTTTCTTCACCAGATTAACTACTTATTAACATCATTTTCTTTCCCAGTAACAATAATATCATCAAAATTAATAACAAAAATTACGTCTTTCTTAGTATATATTCAAAAATAATTCTATGACTTTTGTGTTTTCTTTTAAAATGATGTTCATAAATTTATTAAATCTGTCATTCAAGCAGTGTGGTGACTTATTAAGGCTAAAAAATGATATTTTCAGCTTTTAGACTTTTTCACTATTTAACGTAACACTGCCAGGGCATTTGATCAAAAATTACTCTACAATGTTCCATTTATATATCCCATAAGTACATCTGTTCCCTAATTAGGCAACTCTTTTGCATGACTAAAGCAATCATCATTTTTACTGCAGATAATTTGCTATCGGTGCATATGGCTAAGTACCTACCTCTTCTTGATATCTTTTAGAGTATTCTTAGGCATCGTTACTTTTATTTCGAAAAACCCATAATGTTTTAAAGGCCTTAGCATTTTTAGATAAGTATATTTTTACTAACTGCTCATTTTTAATTGAAATTAACTCTTTGTCAATGGTTTCTTTTCACTGATTATCCTTCACATTATCTTGATAGGTTTTTGGACCATTAACATGATATCAACTGTCAATATTCATTATAAAGCTCATAGGTGTTTAAGTATTTAGGCTACTTCTCAGTTCATCCATATATTGTTTTGTAGAGACATTAGGTATTTTTGAAAGCAGGCAACATGAAAACTTAGCAACTCCTTCGCCGGGAATCGAATTACGGACCTCTGGAATACACGCCCAGCGTGCAGACCACTACATCCTATGATGTTTGTGGACCAATGCCAGAGTTTTTTTGCCAGAGTTTCCACCACACGAAGGCATGCCAAGAAGGTGGGAGAAATACCTTATATACTCCCCATTTTAAAGGGCGACTGGGGTTTTTAGGGAACCCAATCGCCAAATCCTGGGTGTGGAGAACCATCATCCAACACCCTTTTAGTTCAGGCCCCACTGTAGAGACATTAGGTTTTTTTTTTTTTTTGGAAGTAGGAAAGATGAAAAAAGAGCAACCGCCTTCGCCGGGAATCGAACCGCAGACCTCTGGAATACGCGCCTAGCGTGCAGACCATCACACCACGAAGGCATGCCAAGAAGGCGGGAGAAATACCTTATAGTTTGTATAGTTATATCTTTTTCTTTGTCAGAGCAAGTATCAGCGTCACTTTCAATTATTTCTGCATTATTGTGGTCGAGTTCTCTATAACTGGATGTGTACTAGTAACAGTTCCACAAGAAATGCTTTCATTATTTATATTTTTTAAATTATAATTTAATAATGTTTTATATACTTCATGGCTTTGTCTTATCATAGAAAGCAGCATTAATTGAAAGCTCATTTCTGAAGATAAATCTCGAGACAAAATTACTTAATGCGTTTCTGAAATCCAAATTCTATATCCATCTTTATTTTCATAGTACCCAACTGTTAATCCTTTTACTGTTTTCTTATCAAATTTCTTTCGCTTTTGAATTGGAATATGCTCAAAGCATTCAGCTTCCAAAACTTTA